ATAGAGCTACCAATATCACGATGTACATGTTGGAATTTACTTAAATCCCATCTTGGAATTTTCGTTACAATATAATCTAATGATGGCTCGAAACAAGCGGTGGTAGTTTTGGTGACAGAGTTACGAAGTTCCGGAAGTGTATGACCCAATGCTATTTTAGCCGCAATAAATGCAAGAGGATAACCAGTTGCTTTAGATGCCAATGCACTAAGATAATGAAAGAATATATAATCAATTCAGTAAAATAATCAAGAAAATAAATTTTCATGACAAAAATCATAGAATACCGACCTACTGCGACTTAAACGTGCATTAACTTCAATTACTTTATATTCCAAACTTTCCGGATTCAATGCATACTGTACATTACACTCTCCAACAACACCAAGATGGCGGATAATTTTAATTGCCGCTGTTCTCAACATATGATACTCTTCATCGCTAAGTGTTTGACTTGGCGCAACTACAATCGAGTCGCCGGTGTGAATGCCCAGAGGATCGAAATTCTCCATATTACAAACAGTTATACAATTATTGACAGCATCTCGAACTACTTCATATTCTACTTCTTTCCAACCCTTCATTGATTTTTCAACCAGAATTTGTGGGGCTAAAGACAATGATTTTGTTGCTAAACTGTGAAGTTCTTGTGAATTTTCTGCGAATCCGGAACCAAGGCCTCCAAGTGTAAAAGCAGAACGAATGATAACCGGATATCCTATCTCTCCAGCAGCCTTCAAAGCATCATCAACAGTTTCAACGGCCACTGACTGAGCAACTGGGATATCGATTTCTGTAAAAATAAAAAAGTATTATGAATAAAGGAAAAAGTATTATGAATTATAATTAACTATATTTACCTTTAAGAGCTTTGGCAAATTCATCTCGATCCTCACTAATTTCCAAAGTTCTAATTGGAGTACCCAATACTTTAACCCCTAATCTAGAGAAAACACCCATAGAATTAAGCTTAATCCCACAGTTCAAGGCAGTTTGACCTCCAAATGTGAGCAAAATGCCATCAGGTCTTTCTCTTTCCATGATATATTCAAGATACTCTATCGTGCATGGAAGAAAATAAACTTTATCTGCTAATGCATGTGATGTTTGAATAGTTGCTATATTTGGATTAACGAGAACTGTTTGAATTCCTGATTCTTTGAGTGCTTTAATCGCTTGAGAGCCTTATTATTAAAAAAGAATGGAATGGAATAATGAATATCGATATTTATTTCAAATATAAGTATAATCATACAAAATAAGTAAATGTTTACCAGAATAATCGAATTCACCAGCTTGACCGATTGATAAACCGCCGGAACCAACAACCAAAACTTTTTTCACATCGACTTTCGTAGCATGTTGTAAAATTACATCACTTACTTCTTTCCCATAAATAGGCGGTGGTTCTGCCTCAGACTTATGTTGTTCTATAGCGGTGCTATAAAAATGATAGGACACTCTAGCTGTACTGCTGCCAAACTGTGAATTTGATGAATTTCGGGCAAGTGAGGAACCACGATATAAGTTACTTGTTGTGGGTATTATACGACGGGTTGTGGAATTTGAATTTTGGTAGTGATGAAATGAACGGTAAAGTTTGGCAGAAACATTTTGAGTATGTTTAACATATGATACTGTAGAACGAATGGGACTTTGTGCTCGTTGATATAATCCACGATACATTGTGGAAAACCTTTTAATGATAAGTCGTTTTATGTAAAAGTATTAAATGGATAATAAATAAAATATCATTAATTAATAAAATATTATTTTCATTAAAAATGAATGACAATAAAACTGGTAAACGAATGGTCTTTATATAGGCGTTGGGACATTCTTTGTTCAGAGAAACGACGCCCAGAGCTTCTCTGGGTTAAACTTAAAATATGTGCGATAGATAATCATAAAAAAAGTAAATTTCAGATCTACAGAAAATCAGTAGATGCATCTCTACTGTCAGACATCTCTTAAAATAGCAAAAAGATTATGCATTCTTAAGGCGAATAATATTAAATCATCAATTTCTTTCTCGTAATCTTTATCTGCATCTTTGAGAGGATATCTTGTAATGTTTTTCTTTAACAATGCAAGATTAATGAGATTAGATTCAAGAACAAAATATTCACAAGATGGCACTGCATTAATGGACAAGATCGTCGTAACGATGCACAATTTTTAGATCGGGAATCTCGATGAACTTTAATTCCGCCAATTTATTTATTGTTAATATATCGAGATAGATATATTTGATTTTCAGTTCTGCTTCCTTCCTGCTTGGAGTGCATAGACGAATTAATTAATCGGTTAAAATATCAAGCAAGTTTATGAAGTCCTGTGATTCCCTGATTGCGTTGACATTCCGACTATTGTCTTTATACAGCGAATATCATTACCCACTAACCGCATGATCGGATCACCATGGATTTTCTAAATATGAAACGAAAAAATAAATAATTTCTTCTCTATAATTACAAATTTGTATGTCTATAGAAAAGATACTTAAAATAAACATACCCAATACTTCCCAATTCGGCACCCAATTTTTTATCTACGAGCTTCCATACTTGACTCGCATCAAATAATTCAATAAATTGCTGATCCATAGAGCGAGATTTAGGATGCGAGAATCTTCGATACTCGTCAAAAATTGATGTAAGCGACCAGCGTTGTAGTTTCCGAAGGCAACCAACTAGACAGCCTGTTCGATGCTATTGTAGTAAGATGATAATGATGATGATGCTGCTGCTGATAACAAAAATTCAAAACTTTCAGAATTGTGAATAGATTTAGCTGATACTCACTTTGCCCTTGTTACAGTGAATTAGAAGCGGATGATTTCGTCTATCTAAAATTATCAGATTTTTTTAAATCAAGCTAGTGAGTGTTATACATATCGCATGATAAAAGCTACCCAAAATCACCGAGAGAGCGTCACATATTTTGTCTTCAGGTACTAGAATTAGAATCCAGAATAATGATACAATAATTAACACCAAGGAGTTTGGTCAGTAATAGTATACAATAAATGTGATATTACTATGAACAAATGGTTCCTATAAAAAAAATAAAGTGTATGCGTTATAAAATGAAAATAAAAGTTCTATTCTTAAAATCAAATTAGAAGTTTTGTACCTTATTCCCCGCTATTCCAAATTGAAATAACTTGATGTCATTCGCTTTCAAAAATTTCATATTTTGCTCAGGATAATCTTCGAGAATCAAAGTCCTTGTTAAAACATAATCAAATAGTTTTATTTTTTGCTGGAAATCAAGCAAGTTAACAAATACATCCTATATATACGAACAGAATACTCTTTAAACCTAATTTTTTTAAGAACGGGAAATTCTTTTTCTTTGGAAAGCTACTTCGATAGACCCAAGTTGCTACCATGGTAAAATTTTCGGGTGGTATCAACTCTTCATCGTCTTCTCCCGTGTTGGTAGGTTTTGCGGTCCATGATAATCCGCTTTGTAAGGAAGTTTGCAATAAATTAGAGTCCATGAGAGGTTTCATTGGTAAAGCCAAAGTCGAAGCATTAAAATGGTAATGAGACTCTTGGATGTTATCTTCATCTGTGGAAGATGCCATATTTAGAAGCAAAACAATTTAAATTGACAGAAAGGGGAGGAGACGAGGAATCAACCTCGAGTTTCCTCGAGGCTGTTTCGTACAAGTTTTGCAATTACTTTTACCAAAAAAAGTTAGTGACTTTAGCTATTTAAGTTTCCCATGTACAACAATCTTTAGAAAGTATATATTAGACCTAGACCTGATATTAGTTAGCATGACCACATACATTTTAACATTATTATATTTGCATTATCATGACAGTGGAACTGTTTAACCATTCCCTTCGTGGGGTCAATCTTGTTGATTTTGACTATAGAATCTTTGTAAGTATATTCTTTTTTTCTGATTCTGAGTACTGATTCTGAGTGCTACTATACTATCTTTACAATGCACGTAATGATTAAAGAGTTCGTTTTTTATATACAAGCTTGCTATAAATTTAGCTTGTTGTTTTCTTTATCTGCTCGGGAAATTTACTTTAAGGTTTTTTTTTGGTAAACTACGGTTAATAGAAAGCCAGGTATTTGTTATATACATACATGGATGCTTATATGTGCTCATTTTCGAATTCTACTAATTCTTTTATTTTTGCACTCAGCACATGTATGACAGACTACTGAATTTTTTATTATTCAAATTCATTTTTGTTGGCGCAATACTTGATCCGAAGCTAGAGCAGTTATTGATATGGACAACATGGTTCAGTATACTTGGGTTTCTAAGGATTTTTAGTATGCTTTGCCGTGATCGATTTGAATATGTAAATATTAATTTATTTATTTATGTTAATTTCAGTAATTTCAGTGTATTAATTTTCATTTTATTTTCTAGTTAATGTTTTCACCGAATATACCGGTCCAAGCTCACTTGCGAATAATATCACTCTTGCTGCTTATTTTAGTATCAGACATTTTTTGGTTTATAATGTGTTTATCGGTGTTTCGTTCCATGTTTCTCCTGTTGACTTTTGAGGTATTTTAACTTATCGTTAGTTCTCATTCAAAAACAGTCCAATGATAATTATTAATCGGTTATCTATTGATTATAGTGTTTCACCTTATTTCTGGATACAGTTCAAACGCTAGTAAAATATTTGATTCATTTAGGGGATTTATATAGGCAAGGAGTTTGGGAATCGAAAGGTCTTTTTTTGTATTACACGGAATTCGTTACCGACTCTTTAATTCTGGTCGCTACTTTGGGTCATTATTTGCACATCATGGTAATGTGGTGAAAAAGTTGATTTTATAATCGAGTGCCGGATAACTCTTTCAAATTATTAATATTTCTCCTTCAAAAAAGATACTTCATGGCGTTTCGTTTACCTTGATTGATGCCGTATTGTTTCTGAATATGCGTAGCGTGTTCAACAATCTTAGGAAAAAAGATATCCGCGTACTATAATTACAGGCAAGCCATCACTAATATGCAATCTCAGTAAGTAATAATGAAATAGCATGTTATTATTTTGGACATCAAAGATCAACCATTTATTCGGACTTATATTATTTTTAGATATCCGAATGCGACAGAATCAGAACTGGAAGAGTATAATGACGATTGTGCAATATGTAGAGAATCAATGTCTTGTGCCAAGAAACTGCCATGCGGACACATGTTTCATTTGTAAGGACTAAGTTGATTAACGTTTCTTAGTTATAACATGATACTAAATTTTCCTATATTCTACCGGAATAGATCTTGTCTACGCTCGTGGTTAGAATATCATGGATCTTGTCCAACATGTCGGCGATCGTTCACACAAAGTGAAATCCTTTCCTCGGAGGAACAGTCGGCTGAAATAATATCCAGGTATTCAAGTTCTGATCCTTTAGATGATGATTCTTCTCCAAGTCAACCAATAGTCAGCAAACCTATGAAAGCGAATTTGCGAAGCGGGTGACTAAGAAAAAGTTATTTTTTTTCTATCGTACATGGCTGATAAAATCCTCTTGATGATGGTGAAGGTAGTGGCGGTGATGAACTCTCATTTACAAGAATCGATACTATATATGCGAGAACAACATACAATAAATGGATTTTTGTATATTTAAATGTGACAAGCCATTTTTCGAATATTTGCAAAGCAAGCATTATTAGCCCGAGATTGGGAAAGGTTAGATTTATAAGGCTTAATAACACACATACACATATTATCATAGGATCATACACTTGTGAGAGTAGATGATTGCTGTAGGTGATGTAATCTGGAAGGTTAGTACGATAGTAAGGATTGACTATTATATAATATATATAAATAAACAATCTTGTGTAGTAATATAAGATAAAGAGGGGTATTATGGCGCACTTAAGAATCATCAGTAATAATGGTTTATAAAAAAGCTCAATTATTCATAGAGTAAATGATTTTAACTCTTGGAAGAGTAATGTGGCAGATCAACATAAAATTATCATTACTCAAATTACTTATTTTCTTTATCATTATTTTTTTATATTTGCTTGTTTTTGTAATTTCTCCAGCTCACACTTGGCTCACTTCTGAAGAGTTTCTTTTTCTGTTTCACAGTTTCAGCTTTTTTTTTTGCTAACTAATTCACTTCTTTCAATATCTGCAATGATTCATCATTAATAAAAGCTAAGCAAATAGTAGAATTTTTCTTATTTTTGATAATTGGATATTGCTAGTTTCTAATTTGTTAATATGTTGCAGAAGTCAAGAAATAGGATATTTGAGTGCAAGTTTCAATGAACAAGTATCAGAATTCTTAAAAATTTCTAGTTTCTCTTGTGTTAATAAATAATTTTTTTTAGTAATACATTTTTTTAAAATGACTTATTTTTTCTTTTAAAAAACAATTTCTTTTTCTAGTAACTCCATCTTTCTAGTGATACTGGATCAAGTAACATATAAATTAATTGTGATAGTATGTCAAATTCCAAAAATGCATATTCAATTAGCTGAACTTGCTGTTAAGATAAAAGCAAGTCAAATCATTTAATCATTAATAAAAAATCAAAATAATTAAAACTAATTGCATTAGAATTAAATGATCAGATTTCTGTAGCTTTGAAAGCATTAATGATTGTCATAAAAATGTAAATTGCAACAAATGCTAATTCAAATATCTTGGCAAATGTGCACTTGATTATTAATTTATCAATATACTATAAAACTTATCACAATCTTTGTTATATTTCTTTTTAAGTTTAGTAAAAGAAATTTCAAATGGTTAAAGAATGTGTATAATATGGAATGAAAATATATAAAGCAAAATTCCATTTTCATAACAGAAATTAATACTTAAATAGTTAATATAACTTTTGTGATCATCAAGTATTAAAAAAATTGAATGAACAAATTGGATAAAATTAATAAAGTGTTTGATATACATTTGAAAGAGCTTCTCTTTCATATATTCAGAGTTAGTAAATTCCATAATGCTACTAGCTGGAGCTCCAGTTAACAAGCCTGGAATCACACGAATATCTTTATTAATGAAAAAATATATTTACCAGCAACAGAATTGTTGGTGCAACAGAGATATGATCATTCGTATTGCCATGTGAGACTTTATGAACCTAGCAAGCACCTTTTATAGCAAGAACCTGCTGAATTTTAGGAAAGAACAAAACCAGTCTCATTCATGTTTCAAATGTGAACCGTGATGAGTAAGTGCTCTTGAATTATTTGGTAAAGCTTTTCGAAATGATCATTTACAATTATCGGATTAGCTCTTTGTGCGTGTGCTTCTGATAAGGCCTGGGGCACACGAAAAGATAAATCTGAATGATCTTTCATAAAATGTGACCACCAGTCCTTACCAGGTTCTTTGTTGGTGAACGGATGGTTACATCTATCACTTCGTACAATCTCCATTACGCAGTGATTTACTCCTGATTTTGTCAATCCAAATTCCAATTTTTGCATATTCTTGCAATAACCCACTAATTGCGCTTCTTCTTGATTGCTCAAAACTGTTACAGGACCGGGATGATTGAGCAAACCATTATTTTTAACTGCACGTCTAAGAGTTGTCTCTGGAACACCAAAGCTCATAGCAATTGCACGTACACTGGGATGTTCAGGATTAACGAGTGCCTTAAGAACATTTTTAATAGCATTTTGGTGAATGGTTCAATTAACTTTAGTTTCAGGTTAGGGCTCATTTTTAGCTAGTTCATTTTTTTTGGTTTTTCACTTTTTTTTGGTTTTGGTCTTTGTGTATTTATTTTTGGTTTTAGCTAACATTTTTTAGAGAAGTCGCAAACAAAGATAAATACATGTATACAGTGTTAGTAAAATAAAATAATTTAATCTCACGATTGATTTTGTGACGCGATCAAAAAGTACATCCATGTGACTGAAAAGTGTTACTTGTATTATAAAAATCCATGTATTCGGAGATGATTATAGCTCACGGGGCTATAATAATGCCGAATTCGATCAATGGTTGCATTTCGATTTTGGTTGTGAAAGTTCGAGTTTTATATTAATCCGCTATAATACCCCCCTTTACCTTATGTATTTTATATACATATGATTAAACAGTATTGGTTGAACAATCTAAAGAAAATTTTATTAACATGACCAAATGGTGTGTTATTATTTTCTTAGTAAAGAAAAAAGGTGATTCCGAGGACTTTTGCGCATATTGTATTTACCAAGTGTAGTAATTACAGGAACGAACGTAAGCGCCTGCCACAAATATAAATAGAATAGACACGGTTACTTGTAATGGTGAAAATAAGTGGCTTTGGCATTATTTGTAAGCTCTCTTTTAAAAATTGGACTATATTCATATAAAATTTATTTTTTAGGTAGATGAAATTTTTCTCAGTTGCAAAATTATCTGCGATTGACGACATCGATGCCGAATCATGAATCAGTGGTCTTATATATTCGAGTTGTTCGAGAAAACGAATCAGTCGTCAATTATTCCTTTGCTGTTAGGGATTCACAAAGTTCGTTTACTTCTATTGTATTTAATAACTAACCAAGCAGTTCCAATAGACTCCGAGGTAAAATTTTCGTCCTTCAATAATCTAACCAAACGAATATACATAATATGGATGGATTTTTCGTGGTGAGAAAGCTCATGAACGAGAGGAGCAGACAGAGACCATGAATAACAGTAATAATAGTAATGATAATGCGAATTACGATGGAAAAGTTTAACAACATAGAGTAGGGGTAAGATCAAAGACGAGAATTTGAATAATGAATATCTTGCTTTAATTTTGATCCTTGAAGACAGCTCTTTCTCTCGAGTCTCTAGTTTCTTTTTCTTCCTGCGATTTGCCATCTTGTTTTTCCTTTTCAGGCTAATGAAAGGATTATAGCTCTCGCATTACTACAGCAGGATTTTCACTATTGTGACCTCGAAGATGACGATAGTGTGAGAAAATTAAATTCTTTGAATTCAAACCAACATAAATATTGTTACGTAGTAAAACATCTCCGCAGCCACAAGATATTCAACGTAAAGAGGAGGAAATATTTGCAATGGGAGCAAAGCATTGCAAACTATAATTCAGATCTCTAAATAATCCAAGCTCTAACGATAATGACTAGTAATCATCAATCGAATTTATTGTTGCGAGTGCTGTCGTTATCCTGAGATTAATTTTTTAATATGAATAAATACAGAATCAATAATAAAATAAATTCTAACTATTATATAACGATAAATAGCAGATCAGGCAAGCTTAATTTTATCGATTCCAAAAATTAAAAAAAGCTAATCCCAGTCATCATCCCATTCTTCAGCGTTACTACTATTACCATCACGACCTTCTTCAAGCATTTCCCATTCTTCTTCTGCTGGTTTTTTCATGGATATCATTGTTCTTGAATAATTAATTAAATTAAATTGTTTATTATTACTACTACTACCATTGTTTCTATTTTTATCTTTTCTTGAAATTAAACCACTGCCATCGTCGCTCGGCACAAATTTTCCGAGCCCAAAAGCTCGTAAAGCTTCTCTACCAACACAAGTTCCACAACAAAAAATCCACATGATTCCCCCAAAGAAAAATAATACCATAAAGAAGATTAGTACGTATAAATACGGCTCATCATCGTCTTTCTCTGTTTTAATTATTGACGAAGACATTATTATTAATATTGTATGATAAAAGAATGTGAGTTGGTGAGTGTTTATATTTCGTCTGTGTGAGAATATATGTATTGGTATTGGTGTTGGTGTTGGTGTTAGGGAAAATACAAAAGAATCCGACTGTGTTCCGAAAAAAATAAACCTGAATTAGGGTTAGGATTAAAATTTTTGATATGTAATTGGTTAATATTGAAGTTGTTACATGTAACAATTATTACAAATTGAAATTTTCTAATGAAATTTTTATTTTTATTAATAAATAATATTTATTGGACAATTATATTTTATATTTTATTGAATAAGATATTGTTTGAATATTTGTTTAAATATCAGTTCAAATATTTATTTGAATATCAATTCTAATACAGGGAATTTCTTAAAGCAAGATAAGCCGTTTAGCTAGTGTTACAAGCATGATCTCTGGATAGGTAGTTTCATTATGTATATGTTCAAGCAATCTCTATCATTTAGTGATGTTATCGAATCAATCTTATTAATTATGGATCGATATACAGTACATTTTTTTCTATCTGTTATATAAGCTTATACTATTACTAATAGTTGATATATCTACTTATCGTATAATATTATTTATAGTATTCTCCTAATAAAATAATCATCTCATATAATATGGGAATATTATTCAACTCTAAAAGCCAATATTTTGAAAGTATCCTAGTACTAATCAATTATTACTTGAAATTCAATTTATTATTATTATGATTTATTTTGATTATTATATATATAATTTAGATCATATTTAATTTAAATAAATGTTTGATTTTTTTAGGATTTGTAAATTAATAAATAGATATATGTGTTAATAAATGTTAATTAAGCTTCAAATACAGTTTGTTTTTGTTAAACCAGTTGACAAATACAAATAAAAATTTTTTGCTTTAACATTTTAAAATTATCAAAAAGTAAAATTTATTTTATTTCTAAATTCTAATATTATTTTTATATCAAAACTAAAAAATACATATTTTTTTAATCATATCATATATTTGAATAATTTGTTTTTTGCTTATCATAATAATCTTCAATATTATTACTAAAATCTATTTTCTTTATTATTATTCAAACTTTTTATATTATTACTTATCTGATTTGATATTTCAAGATTATTATAATTAAAAATTAATTTATCTTTTATTCTATTTTTATTATTCAAAATACTATAATATTTAAATAATCATTAAATTAAACTAATATTAATTGTATTTCACAAAGTATTAGTTCAATTATAATAGTTTCATAAAAAAGTTTTTTGATTTACTGACAATTATTAATTCTTTTACTAATTTAGCCATTTATTCATTATAATATTGTTGTATTTTATATTAAAAAATCAAATAAATAAATAAATTTTTACTTTACTTTTAAATAATTTATTTATTACAAAATCTAAAAGTTATAAATATAATGTCAGTTCTTCAGAAATAACAGATAAATTAGTTTTTTTCATTAAAATAATATTTTACAGAATTAATTATATATGCTAAAAATGAATTTAAAAACAAATAAAAATTGTGAATTGAAATGTAATATATATTTAATTCAAATATTTTCAATTCAATAAAATATTTCTGTTTTATTCATTTATTCTGTTGAATTAATCTAAACAATTACTTCAAATAGAAAATTATTTTATAAAATATTCTTGAACTTAAAAATTATAATGAAAAAACTTTATTTTATCAGTTATGTAATTTAATATTATAGTAAAATTAGTCTTTTTATATTTTGTTATACAAATATTAATAAATTAAACTTCCAATTTATTAACTATAATATTGCTTGAAAGCTCAAATATCATAAATGTTTTATTCATATTATTATTAAATATTAATAAATAATTATATTATATATATCAATATATGACAAATACTAAAAATTCTTGTTGTTTTTTAATTAGATTTTTTGATAAATATTATATAATTATAGTATAGTAATAATTACTTAAGTTATTATAATATATTAAATCATTTAATTATTTATTGCTAAATATAAAGAATTCAATATTAAAATAAGTATTTTCTATTAAACTTGTTGTAAAAGTATTTTTGTTTTATTTAGATTATATTTTATAAAACAATTTGTTAATTTTTTTTTGTTTCTTTATTTATTTAACTAAAATAGATTTTAAAATCAAATACTTGAAAGACATATTTTTATTTAATTATTTTTTATTTGGTTATACTTTCAAAAGTTAATTCTTTTTAGATATCTAATTCTAAAGTTGCTTTATTTTAATATTAAATTTAGCTGTAATCTTATTTTTATTATGATCTTTTTTGTGATATATATATTATTATATAACAAACTTTGATCAAATATTTTATTGAATTATTTATACTTAATATTATTAGTATATAAATACTGCAACCTATTTATAGTAAATTATTATCTATTTATAAATAAATTATTATCTAGTTATGAGTAAATTATTACTTACTTAAATGTTTTCATGTTCTATGATCTTTTTATTGCTTTGTAAATATTTACTTATTTTTATTGCTCTATTTTCTTTTTATTATCTTTTAACTATCTGATTGTTTTTAATGCTCTATGATTTTTTTGTGACTAAAATGTTTGATCAGCCTTGATTGCTAAAATCGTGTTACTATCAGATGGCGCAATTAAATCATGTGTCTTTATTTTAGTCCAAAATTATAGAATATAGTGCTAGTCAAATTATTGTAATTTACTGTGCCAAAAAAATCATGTGTGAGGTACATTTCTAAAATCTTCCTGGCATTTTCTCGTTATTTTTGAGAGCATGATTTGATGATCAGTTAGTTAAAGAATTAGAGTTGTGATAGTATCAGTCCATTTGGTTATCAAAAGTGCTCCATTTTGCAACTAACTATTGTCTATTTGTTGTTGGTATATATATGCTAATTTGCATCTGAAGTTAAAGGTACAATATGTATTACTATGGCTGACTCATTTATTCCATTCCGAGTAGATATCTAGAAAAGTGTAGATTTCTTCCAATATTTATATAATAGATTACGGAGAAATCTACACTTTTTATTGTCCTAGAGAAAATTTTTCTAAGAATGCTCCTAAGGACAACCTTGATATTTGTTTTAAAGATTTGGAGTTGATTAGTTATATTTCTTTATTTCTGTTCCTAGTATCCCTAGTGTCCTTAGTAAAAAGTAAAGTTCTAGAAAAAAATTTGAAACTTATCCTATGCTACATATATATTCTATATGCAATCATTTTTTATGTTATAGTATATGAATGGTATATGCGTAATATACGTATGCTTAAAAAATAAAAAAAAAGATTGGGTGTTCCAATTTTTTCTAAGAACGCTAAGGACACTAGAAACACCTATTTAGAAGTCTTCCCAAAATTCTAAAAATGTCAAAAAGCCTACTTTCAACGTTCCCAGAAGTGTTCCCTGCATTTTTTTTCTAGGGACAACTTTCTAAGACCAACTCTCTATTGTATTAGACAATTTATTTTATTGAGAGCCAGAAAACAAAGTATCCTATTTCTCTTTTTCTGAACAATATGAAGAAAAAGGACCTATCACTTTCAAAGTCAGACCTGATCCAGAATTAATTATCAAATCCGTCTTAGAGCACTTTCCACACTTGAAATTCTGAAATAGTTTTAGAGAGATTGATAATTATAATTTTACATCATCTCAATCGTGGAGTTCATCATGTTCTATTTGTGATGAAAAACATGGGAATTATGAATTACATGGTGAATGATATAAAAATGAAACAGAATATTGTCTTACTTGCTTAATAAATTCAAATTCGCGATCGTTGTATAGAAATTCTGTCATGTGAGACTGATCACCTGAAATGCGCAGTATGATATTCTTGCCAAATGTATTCATTTCTTCCGAAGTCTTGCAAATACAAAAACAGGCATCATATCGCAATATGAAAAAAGTGTTGGTGAAAAAAAAATTTGTACGAAACATTGTGCAATTAAGGTGAGAGTACTCCGGTTGTGTCTATGCATTTCAATGAAGCAACAAGCTAATGGTATTTTCCATTCCAGGATTTTTTGAGGATCACGAAGGCACAAATGAAACGGATTATGGAATTAATGATAGGATATTGTATTAATTGTCATATATCACAGATTAGCTCTCGATTCTTGTAATTTATTTTTATATAGATCGCAGTATCTATAGTTATTAGCTATAACTTATTTATAATCGTAGTATAGCATTTGCTCTCGAACTTTCCTGCATATACTCAATGAAATTTATTAATAAAAACTCTCCTTGACGATCTTTATATACTATTGTTAAATTAAGGAGAGGTCATTAATCAGATTTTTGTAATGTAATCATATTAACGTAATTTGCTCCAAAAGCGTATTCCAAAATCGATCCTGCGAATCATATAAAAAGGTGATGTCCCAATTAGTGAACTCTTTTATCTGTCTTGTGCAACTAAAGCAAAAATCAAGCGAAATATTCAAACTAATCAAACTTATCAATATTTACATCATTAATATCCTTGATCAAACAAACTCTTATATTTCGCAAAACAATAATAAGGTATGTTGATTTTATTGCTTGGCTAGCTTCTTGAGACATGTCATCACGATGTTAATCGATTTTTCTGTCTCTATAGATGTTTTAAAATAAAACAGATATATTACTCTTCTTGCTATATATTGGCATTTTGATCTTTGCCGAGAAAATCTTTGACCATCATCACGCGTATAATAGACGTAGTGAAATTACTCACATGAATTTCGTCACATGCAACGGCACAGCAAAAGTCTGGCGCAGTGCATCAAAAAATTTATCTCATATAAACATTCACGTATCGAATTCTTAAAACTTTGCGCAGTATCGTAACAGTAATAACACAGAAAAAATTAAGCAATAAATATTTTGTGTATAGGAATTATGTGAAAATAAATCGTGATGGTAAGTGTAAATTGTTATTGTATTTTTTTTTTACCTTAGTTGCTAATACTTTTGTAATTATACTATAGGTTCGAAATTT